GAACTTCCTCAAACTTGTTTCTCAGGGGAAGATCTAGTGCACACCTTCTATTGAGTTCTCATCTTTTACTGTACGTACCTATATAGGGAATAATATACATCATATAAAATTATTTTCAGTGAGGTGTCTTTGACACTGATTGGAGCCAGAAGTTTAGCTTTCTTTTCTCTAGTCATAGAATCATAGCATATCAGGGTTGGAAGGGACCTCAGGAGTCATCTAGTCCAACCCCCTGCTCAAAGCAGGACCAACACCAACTAAATCATCCCAGCCAGGGCTTTGTCAAGCCTGACCTTAAAAACCTCCCTAGGTAACCCATTCCAGTGTTTCACCACCCTCCTAGTGAAAAAGTTTTTCCTAATATCCAACCTAAACCTCCTCCAACTGCAAATTGAGACCATTACTCCATGTTCTGTCATCTGCTACCACTGAGAACAGTCTAGATCCATCCTCTTTGGAACCCCCTTTCAGGTAGCTGAAAACAGCTATCAAATCCCCCCTCACTCTTCTCTTCTGCAGACTAAACAATCCCAGTTCCCTCAGCCTCTACTCATAAGTCATGTGCTCCAGCCCCCTAATCATTTTTGTTGCCTTCCACTGGACTCTTTCCAATTTTTCCACATCCTTCTTGTAGTGTGGGGCCCAAAACTGGACACAGTACTCCAGATGAAGCCTCACCAATGTCGAATAGAGGGGAATGATCACGTCCCTCTATCTGCTGGAAATGCCCCTACTTATACAGCCCAAAATGCCGTTAGCCTTCTTGGCAACAAGGGCACACTGTTGACTCATATCCAGCTTCTCGTCTGCTGTAACGCAGCATTCCTGCAGCATGTGGCTTCCTCAACCTGATAATACAACTGTGTGTTCTGAAAGCGTTATTTCTTCCTCAGCAGTGAACAAGAATAAAAGATTAGTTCTCATTTTGCAGTTACTGTAAGTCTCATAAAAGCATCCTGTAATGAAAATGATATATTGTTAAAATGCAGCAGTAGGCTATCCAGCTAATAAAGAAAGCAAGCTCTGTTTGGCAGCTTTACTGCGATACTTCTGTGCATAGGAAATATTTATCTTTTTATTTCCAAAATGTCTTTCCCACAGATTACTGTAAAATATTTTATTGCTGCTATACCTTGTTTCTATTCCTCCCTGCCAACCAGTTCGACTATGTAAACTCAACAAGTAAATCTAACCTGCATGAAGATCACTCCAATCAAACAGCCTTGCCCATCTCATCCTTCCACTGACCTACTTATTGAGAAGCACCAAGTCTAGCAAAACAACATTAATTCCCATGGTTTCACTGGGAATTCAGACATGCCAGATGGACTCTCATTCATACTACCAGGCAGAGAATTCACAAACTACAGCACCTAACGTAGCTTCTGATGATGATGATGATGATGATGAGCCCGTTGATAAAATGTATCTCGTTGTCAAAGACCTGTAAAGAAGTCAGTCTGAAATGGTCAATGATCCAAGGGCTTAAAGTATTTCAGGAAAATATGGATTTGATACTAAATAAAGCAACCTTAGAATCCAATTCTACCCACCTCTGAGGCTTACTATTGTGGCTCCGGGGATACACTCTAGTTATCCTCTAGTCTCTCTTTGGTAAACAATTAATAAGTATCATAGACATCAAAACATTGTAAGGACAGACTAGGAAGGATGGTGACACTACAAATGGATACACAAAACTAGTATAAACGGCATACCTAAACAACACAAGCCCCATGCTGAGCCCATAAAGAAGCCATTTAAAGCCAAATTCTGCAACAGTCAACCAAGGATCAAACCAAAAGGGGATGCGATGGCAATCATGCTAAATTACATACTTCTCAACAGGCTGTTGAAACGATCTGCTGGCTAGTAATTAAACAAGGTCACAGAAAATAGGAGGGCTCAATGAATAGTTCCCAAATTACATAATGCCATTTTATGTTGTAAAAGCCAGCACAGAAGATCCAGTCTATGATAATTAATTGCACTAAACTTCCATCTTTGATTACAAAACATCAATTTTTACAGTGAAATGTGTGACTGCAGTTTGGTCACCATGCCTTGGTTTTTTTGCTTTTTAAATACCTGTAAATTGATATTTAACCAATTTCTATAGAAAAGATGGAGATATGTTACATGCCTAATTTTCCACAGCATGCTTAGCTTCGGAATAATCCATTTAATGCATTCCAGCAAACGTGCCATGCTAAGGGCATAACTAAATGCTAACAAGACAACTGACTCTTCTGCTTATTTTTTTCATGCTTTCTCGGAAAAAATGAGAAGTCCACAGGTCATGCAGGATGAAGAATCAGCAGGCACAGAAGAGAAAAATGTATCCCAAAATGGGAGAGCTCAAAACATCCACTGTGACAATATAACTCCATTCAGTCTGGGAAACTGGAGGGTTATTTTCTCTGCTGCATGTAAGTGGATGCTACACCAAATTCCTTGGTCAACAACAGCAAAAAGAAAATTGTGAGATAGCCTGGTGCCAACTGTTTGGTTATACTGTACAAGTGCCATCAAAGACACATTCCTTTCTGGATCCTTCATGCAATGGAGAGAATGCCAGCTCCATGTCGGAGTTCATGCCCAAAGCAATGGGAACAACCATTTCCAGCTGTTATTTCAGAGCTATTTCAGAAGCAGGAATTTAAGGTTTTCACTGCTGCTAATAAGTATGTAAGCTAAACAGTTTCACCCTAGAACTAAGCTATCATTGAACACAAAAGAAGAGACTTCCTGTTCTACAGGAGCTCCTTAATGTATCCAAAATTTGGAATTTGTTGGCATCAGCTCCTTTTTACTTCAGACTTAAAAAAACTAGTGCAGTGCTTACTTATGATACATAGCCACTGTACCCCAGGCATTTACTAACTAAGAATGAGTATTATATAGAGATCAGAAAAAATAGTTTTCATAGCTAGCAAACAGCATAGTTTAGACTAAATTCCAGCCTCCGTTCTAAACCCACTTTTTCTGTTGCTCATTAAAACAAACCCTTTGGGGATGAAATTTTCATGCTTAGCCTCAGCGCAGCGTTGAATTTTTTCTGGATGGGGGAGACGCTAAATCTAAACTGATCTGACACTTTTCAGAACAGCGAGTGTAAAGAAAACAACATTAGTCCCTAACTTGAAAACATCTAATGCTATAGACTGCAAACTCGGCAACATTTTAGTTGTCACCAAGGAAAGGTAAAAAAACAAACCAACCAACCAGCCAAGTGTGGAGAAAAATTATGTAAAAGTTATGAATTTTTTAAAATGCTAGTCCAAGCATACACAACAAATTATCGGCCACTTTTTAGTGTGTCTCAGCTTTAAAAGGAGCCATCATTTAAGGGCAACTCAGCAGTGAAACACCTTCTACACCCTTTAAATAACAGAGAAATACAATCCAAAAGCTTATGTCGATAATGGTGAAGTTGAAAAATTAATCACATAGAATGTGGAAATTCAAAAGTCATTTCCCACAAAAAATAGGTACCACATTGCACATACGTAAAATTCACTATTGCTGCTTTCCTTGTTCAATGTCAATCTTACGACTGTTTATGCTGTTAATCATATGCCATAAATATACAAAATGTGAAACACGGCTGAGTTACCACCACTGAGGGAACCCTTAACCTTCTGTTTTCCTGGCTCATATGCTTAATTCTACACCCCTAGCAATGCATTAACATTCGTTTTTCAGATCGCATGTTCACTTTTAATATAATTTAGAGAAATTCTTTACCTGGCACTATTTCAAATATCTTAATTCTGAGTAGTGTTGGTGTCTCTCTGAACAAGGACTTCAATTTCACTGACACTTCCTGCCAGGAAGTCTAGCCTGACAGCACAAGTTTGAGACAAAGGAAATGCAGCTCAACCTTTGAATGCTTGAGAAAGACAGAAAACTGTCAAAGATGTGTAAAGTGGTAATATTTATTAGAAAATGGTTAAAATAAGCTCAAGTGGTCCAAAAATATTTTTAAATACCATTCATCCACAACTTTTAAAACTGCCTGAATCTCAGGTACATTTAATACTGGACTGCATTTTCTATGTCTAGTACTACAGTATGTCAGAATGATGGCTCCCTATGTGACTGATAACTAGGTTTCATTATGTTATGTCAGTTTAAATGATTTTCTAAAGTGATTTAACTCTTCTTTCAAATTAGACATAATTATTAGGATATCACTTATTTTACATTGGAGCTTTCTTTTTACACCTGATCTAATAAGGAAATAATTACAGCAGAGCCTTGCTAATTTGCACTAAATGACTGGGACACCCAGTGTGAATTGATGAATTATTGAAAATGAGTAAAAACACAATTTAAAAAAATGAAAGATAATATAGCTCAAAATGTCTTGTGATTTGACGAATGTAATTTAGGGTTTTTACTGATAATACTTCGTAACATCCTAGTAAGTGTTTTGCTAAGTTAATTCATTGAAGTCTCAAGTATGGAGACGTCACTACAGCACTGTCCCCCTACACTGATAGCAGAAATAACTGATTTCATTCGAATTGTGTACAGTAACAAAGGGCAGTTAACAAGGCTTCACTGTTAAGTCTACTTGAACATAAACCGACCCTTCCCTTATAAAATTATTAAAACCTATTCCTATTTGCAGAAAGAGCTCGTGAACAGGTGGAATGGCAGAAGCTCAAGGACACAATGAGATACATGAAACTATCCAAATACTGTCATTATTTTTAAAGGGTTCTTTAACAGGTGTGCTGCCTCTGCATGTATTTTTCACACAGGACTCCACACAATTTCTAGTTAGGCATTTCAAAGTACTGCTTCTAGGCACACGTTTAACCGAGAGTAGAAGAGTGAGTTTTCTAGTGTCATTTGCCAGTTCAGTAATACAGCAGCTCTGTTCCCAATCCAGCATCAAGGACTTGGAAATCAGAAGGAAGTAGTTTAATAAAAGGAGAGACGACTTGTCAGGTGGATGTTTGGAACCCTGAAAATGTCACCATTATACATACCCTCTGACTGAAGGTCTAAATATTCTGAGCAATACCCACAGCAAGATAGAAAGGCAGCAAGAGAGACAGAGATAGGCAGAAAGCAGAAAGGAGAGAAAGAAAAAGAAAACAGTAAAGATTAGTGCAAAAACAGACAAAAGAATTCACTTTGCATTGCTATCCTCGGATGGTTTCCTTCCCTGTAAAAATGACAAGGCAAGGGATGTTTAAAAGCTTTTCTAATCATATGCAGTAGCTGAATACTGTGCACTGGAACCTCCATGTAAAACTGTACCCAATACACACAAAAGTAGATGAATCAATACACCATAAACAACAGCCTGCTCAAAGTTGACACTTAAAATACAAACTTTAGATTATCAAATAGCAAAGTATGCCAGAAACAGGAAACTTTCTAGTCATCACCAGAGAACTCTACAATGTCTTTTTTTTTTCAATTAATCTAAGATGTCAAATTTACTATGGATCTTCCAGGGGGGAAAATATATCTGCTGACGATGGCTGAAACAGCCTAGCACTTGGGTACGACCTTTTAAAACTGCTGCTAAGAATATGGCACACCTGAACCAAAACTGCCATGGGTAATGTTTTGTTGTGCAATGCAAGGAGATGATTAACTCAGGTGTGTTTCAACCATACCATCATATAAAAAGCTTAAATGTAGATGCCAGATCCATCAGTGACATCTCCAACCGGTGGATTCACAAGAGAATAAGTACCACCAGTCATGACTGCTACCTGTTTTTATTTATTTGGGGTGGAGGGAAGGTCAACAGGAAGCAGAGTCCTGGAGGTGGTTTAAAGAGGTTCCCAGAATTTGGAAAAGGTATAGTGGCAGCAGACTGGAGTAGACATAGAGGGCCATGTGTACTGCCCTTAACAGCAGGGGCTTTTAGGATACTAATAAGTTTAGTGATTACACACTCACCAGAACTATTTATTAAACATAGGTTATGTTATAGTACCCATCACTGTAATACTGAAGTCTACTGTAGCTCTTTAACACTTCTCAATCTAGGAGAAGATTTTGCTCCTCCTTGGTAGCTGGCGTACTACAATGTTGCCCTGTTGTGTGTCATAATTCTCCTGGAGTGACCCTTAATCTTGGGTAGGACGTGATGGCACGCATTGTAGACTACCCGTAGCTTGAGGACGTTAATGTGAAGCAACAATTCTTGATGGTCCACTTGCCCTGTGCTATAAACTTCTGCAGGTGTTCCCAACACATACCCTGTGGGGGTCCTTCAACCGATCAAGTGTGTCAAGGACCCCGTGGGGAATGAATGCTCATTTGGACAAGCTATGTCTATTTGGTGTGTCAAAGGTGCTGCGACAGGTTTGAATGCATCTGGAGTGGAGCCTTGCTGGGGCATCATAAATGTGCAGGCCACAGTATGGCCTAAGAGTTGTAGGCAAGACCTCTCGGTGGTCTGAGGGCTCTATTGTATCACGAATATGAGGCTGGACCTGGTGTCGCACCTGTCTGTGGTTAGGTATTCCCTATTGGTTACTGAGTCCAGCATGGCCCTGATTAAAAATACATGGAGATATCCTATCTCATAGAACTGGAAGGGACCTTGAAAGGACATCAAGTCCAGCCCCCTGCCTTCACTAGCAGGATCAATTTTTTTGCCCCAGATCCCTAAATGGCCTCCTTAAGGATTGAGCTCACAACCCTGGGTTTAGCAGGCCAATGCTCAAACCACTGAGCTATCCCTTCCCCCTTAAGTCTATATGCTGAGCGGGTATTAGGTTGGACCTCTCTGCACTGAGGTGAAGGCCCAGGGAAAGAAACAGAGTTAGAGACTTGTTGGTGTGTGACCTGACTTCAGAGAAGAAGCTGCCCTTGAGAAGCCAGCTGTCCAAGTAGGGGAAGACGACTATTCCCATCTGACAGAGGTGAGCAGCAGCTACTGAGAGCCATTTGTAAAGGCATCAAATTGGTCCCTTTGATCCTGTGGCAGATGGTCAATAAGTTGAAAGAACTTAGAGTAGATGCTGTCATCATATTTTGCCAGCAGGGCATGATAATTTTGCTACCCTAAATTGTAATGCTGCTGAGAAGTAGCTCTCTGCAGGTGCTGCCTGTTCTTCTCGTTGACCACACTGACCACCAAGGAGTTGCGGGTGGGAAGAGAACAAAAGATATTCAGAGCCCTTGGCAGGATGACGGTATTTTTTGCCAGCCGTCTTGCACGTCGGCAGAATGGTGGCAGGTGCCTGCCAGATGTTATGGGTTGGTGACAACAGTGCATCGTCAATAGGTAGGGCTACAAGTATGTCATGGAGGTCACGGATTCCCTGACTTTCCACAATCTCTGTGGCATTGGTTGCCCTGCAGCAGTCCAGCCACCACCGGCAGCAGGGGAACCCCCCAGCTCCCAGTCGCTGCAGGCAGCGGGCGGGGAGATTGGGGGGGGGGGGCGCGCGCAGCCTGCTGCTGCATGCAGCAGGGAAGGGTGCTGGACCTTCCTCCCTCCCCATTTTGTAAGGGATGTTTTTACTAAAAGTCAGGGACAGGTCACGGCTTCTGTGAATCTTTGTTCATTGCCCGTGACCTGTCCATGACTTTTACTAAAAATATCCAGGGCAAAAATCATAGCCTTATCAATAGGCAGTGCTATCTTGTCTTGTGATGTAGCATGGAGGATATCCATCAGGGAATGTCAGGATTCCTGCACCTGCTCCAGCGGGAGCTGTAAAGTCTTGACTGCCCTCTTCATCAAGTCCTGAAAAACTTTACAGTCAGCTGCATAGGATGGCGGAAGGGGCATGACTGCTTCGTCAGAAGACGACGAGAATTTGTCGGAAGAGGGAGTTTCCTCCTTGACTCTTCACTCTTGGTGTTCCACAAAGCCTTCCCGCGGAGGTGGTGCTCCCAGAGTCCAAAGGGCTGCTCCTTTTGGCATGCCTTTCTATGGGAAGGCACCCTGCAAAACTGGTTGCTGTAGGAAGCCTAAGGCTTCCAGAATGCCAAGTGTGGCAGGGCATGTGGAAAGTGAGTAGGACCTCAGGGGTGGGGAAATTTTAGGCTTGAAATTAGACGAAGGTTTCTGACCGTCAGAGGGGTGAAATATTGGAACAGCCTTCCGAGGGAAACGGTGGGGGCGAAGGACCTGCCTGGTTTTAAGATTAAGCTAGATAAGTTTATGGTTGGAATGGTTTAATGGAAAAACATGATTTTAGTCAAAGGAATACCGTGCCATGGCAGGTATGAGGCATAAGGGGCAGGCTGGAGACTCTTGCCTACATGCTCGGGGTTTTACTGATCGCCATATTTGGGGTCGGGAAGGAATTTTCCTCCAGGGTAGATTGGCAGAGGCCCTGGAGGTTTTTCGCCTTCCTCCGCAGCATGGGGCAGGGATCGCTAGCTAGAGGATTCTCTGCCAATTGAAGTCTCTAAGCCACAGGATTTGGGGACTTCAACAGCAGAGTCAAGGGAAAGGGTTGGGACGGCTTTGTGGCCTGCATCATGCAGGGGGTCAGACCAGATGATCATAATGGTCCCTTCTGACCTTAAAGTCTATGAGTCTATGAGTGCTCCTGCCAAGATTGGCGGGGAGCGTGATGGCCAGATCCCAGAGTCTCCTCCTCAGGGTACACTCAGGGGATGGAGGAGGGGAGAGAAGGAAAAGGTGGCTGAATCCTGGACAGAGATGTCCAGTTCAGAAGATGTGTAATCCCTTGTGTCCAATGAGGAAGCTAAGGGTGTTGGTACTGGCAGCTGATTATGTACTAGGGGTCGGATAGGTACTGGCAGCTGGGTGGGAAATGGCATCCAAGTCAGTACAGGTGGCCAACTTTTTGTAGCAGGATGCGGTGGTACCAATCAGTAGGTCGGTACCGGTGGGTGCCTGAAGTACCGAGAAAGGAACCCTCTCTGTACCTCTCAGGAGAGTGGAATCTGGCTCCTCTGTCACGCAGAGGTCCCTGTGGGAAAGAAGGTGATCTGGGTGCTGAAGTCGGGTCGGTAGTTTCTTTGAGTCCCTGCATCGGGAGGGCTCCGAAGGTACAGAGAATGGGGTTGAGTGGGTCTGTTTGCTGAGAGACTTAGATCTCTTCAGCAGTACTGAGCCTTCAGTCCCAAACAAAGCAGGAGCCTCAGCGGCACCTGGAGCGGGATGCAAAGTCTCTTAGACCATGATATTTGGGGAGACCTCTCACAGTGCTTCAAGCCCCAATCAAGGGACTGGGATCACTGCTTCTTGGAGTGTTTGGAGGCCTTTGAAGATGTCTCCTGCTCTTTGCTCCCTGGAGCAGCAGCACAAGTCAAAGAGGCGGCGGCAGACGTAGAGGGGAGAATCTACCTTGCAGGTCTCAGAGAT